ACAAATGAAAATTGAAGTTTACCACTCTTCTTGTGAATTATGGAAAGCAGGGTATAAATTATTTTATCGCTGCTCATTCGCCGACGGTGATAAAGTTAAATCAAGAAAAAATCTTTCATCCGAAACATGTCCGGCAAAAACTGATCCAGAATAACCACCCGATGACTGGGGGTTATCTCTACTACGCACAACCTTGTTTTTTGGAACGTCTTCGACCTTCACGTACATCTCCAACATTGTGATTACAAGAAATTCCCGGCATTCGTCCGGAGTCCTCAGGAAATCACTCAAAGTGTCATCATCGTCGATGTTAAACTCTGAGTAAAAAGCAACCCCTTGCGGCGTAACGGAATACGGATATCTTCCGGTTACTTTGAGTATCACTGAACGTTTTCTCACACTCATTTTTTTGCATAACAACGATATCAATGTTTCGTACTCCATTGAAAGTGGCAATTTAACATTACACTTAGCAGGTAAACTGTAGCCCACAGAGTTATTCTCCATCACAACCTCACCCCCCCAATATAATGATACTCTTATTCTACGTTCTTCAGACATAATGAAAAAATGCTGGAGAATTTAACAACAATAGAAACCAACAAGAGTTAAAAAAAAATTTGAATGAAGTTGTGGCGATTCTACGATGTTTATATAGGAAATGGCTAGCCGGAGAGGTTTTTTTTTTTTGTATATAGCGCCACAAAAAGTGGCTTTATATGCTTTTGAATTATTGAACCTAGAAATTATTGGTGGGGTCAGTCAATAAGGGGTATAGCGCCATTAATAGTGGCGCTATGTAAGATGTGTCAGTTTTACTATATATAACGCCACAAAAAGTGGCGCTATACAGTAACGGTGCAGTTACCGTTACTTTATAGCGCCACTTTTTGTGTCGTTATATATAGTTTGATAACTTTTTTTTAACACTTATTTGCGTATTTTGAGTAAAAAAAAAACACATTTTGGTTCCGGACTCGAGAAAAAGATGCTTCTTCGCTTGTCTACTTCGCTTGTCTAAAAAGGACCTAATATCTGACCTTTTACCTTTCGCTTTTCTTCTTTAATGGAGTAATTTTTTTTCCTTATACTATTAATCGTCTTTCTATTCTAACCAATATTTAAATCATTCGATATAATAAATCTCAAGTCCACCATCAAAATCACTGATACAATATATCTCAAACTTTACCTTAACAGTTGTTTTCACATCAAATGACACACCTAGACAGTTTCTACAAGACCAAGTTTAGCAAATAAAATATGCTAATATACCTTTCAAGAAAAGGTGGACTCAAGATGATGAGCTCCAAACCATGAACCGAAGCACATACCTTTTAGGTCACAGTTTTTCATCCCATCGAGATATAAATTGCATGTAGGTGAAATTTTCTTACATTAAGAAGAATGAACTCCAAAGCTAATTTTCTCTTGCCAAGAAAGAATCCAGCTTGTCTGTACATAGCTTCCATCTCATTGAACTACAACATTGCAAAACTGGGATTTACAGTGTCTGAAGGGGGAAAACAAAAAATAACAAGACAATAACAGAATATGAGTAATTACAGTTTTCCTTCTATTGTTCCTATAGAAAAAATTACCAGATGACACTAATAGATTGGTGAAAAAGCTATGCATGTTTCAGATTATCTTCAACGAGTTCAATACAACGATATAAAACTAACTCAATGGGGTTCAAGGCACATATTGCATCTGATGCTAGTTGGTCATGATCATTCTGGTTTTCTGCTACGACTCCCGTCACTAACGTGCGCAAAGGTAGAAGCCATTCATTGTAAGCCTTCTGTAACATGTCCTTAGAGAGCACTCCAGTATAGTTGGTTTTCCCTGTTGCATGTGTTATGGAAGTCAGATGACTAGTAAAAGTTAGTGTCACCTTCTGTTGACTCCAAAATTCATGTAGAGGATAAATTAGTTTAGCCGACAGATATTAGACAACGAAAAAGACAAGAGTATCCACTGACAATAATTCATTAGTCGTGTCTTTTACCAGAAAGGACGAGACTTGAGACAGCAGAAGATCTTCCAAAGAAATACACCCATGGTTCTGTCACTAGCTTTATACACAAGACACTGAACAATTCAACTAGGCACTTCGTAAAGTATTTATATTCTTCAGAATGTTTCTTCGATCCCTTACATGCCATGCAAAAGAATGGACTATGGAGAGGAGAAAATGCTTCCAGAAAATGAGCGAAACCTTTTTTTCCAATTAGTAAGCAAGTGAAACTTAAATGAAGAGTTCCATGTGTACAGAGAACATTCATTCTGGATATACCACCTGACATACAATTTTCCTGAGTTTCATTTTACAGGATTTTTGTATAAAATTAGTAGTGGTGAAAGAACCAGATTGAAATAGCTATCGAAAAGATAGTCAAAGTTTAGATATGAATAATTGAATGAATTAAAGTTGTACAAAATGTAGCTCAAAACGTTTTGACATAATAATTTATAGGCTAATACACACTTACATCCTTCAACTTGCCCCGATTTCCCTTTTACGCGCTAAATACACGGGTAACCTTTACCTACCAAAAGTTGTCCGAAACATAGCTATTACACCTCTTCATGTTTGGCCACTTATTCCTGGAGGTTGCATTACGCGCGCCTATCGGTGCAAGACACGTTTTACCAGTCAAGGAAAAAAAGGAGAATACTTAAAAATTACAGCTATATCCAATTGAACAAAAAAATTCCAATTTTTTCGGTCTTCATCTTCCTCCGTGGCTGCTACCAACACCACCTTCATGGTAACCGCCAACACCACCGTCCCAAAACCAACAGTCATTCTCTCTAATACCAGTGTCACCTCGTCTTTCATCAATAAAGACCACAACTGTGACGTCACAAAACACTAGCCCTGCCCCAGGCGCCTCCTCCATCTCCAAAAGACCCATCGTACCCCTTCAACCTCCTTTCACGCTCATCATGACCACCAAATAATTCTACCGCCTCATGCCAGAATCACCAAAAAATATCCCAAACAACGACCGCCATAAAGACAAAAACGCCGGCCAACACCTCTCTTTGACCCCAACACTCCACCAAAAATCACTCAATCGACACCACTCCTACACCACCAGGAAATCACCAATCTCTCTCCATTTTTGTTTGAGTTTCACCAAGTTATACGGCTCTAATATCTCTTGACAACTCCCACAATCTCAATCTCTCCATCTGTATTTTTAGTTCTGCTTCCAAAAGGATTTAGAAGCTGAGTTCGGTCTGTGGAATCTTGCTTTGTGGAGTGGTAAAGGGGGTCTATTAGCCGAAGGAAGGTTTAGGAAAATGGGTTAGTGTATGAAAAATGGTAGGGGTGATCTGATGGGTTTTCTGATGAAGAAGGTTTTTAGGTGGTGATACAGGAGGAGGAGTGGATGCATGTGTGATTCTTTTGAAGGTTGGTTGGGGCAGTAGCTTGAAGGTGGTGGCTGTTGGGTGGAGACGTTAAGGTGGCTGTTGGAGCCTGTGGGTGTGGAAGGTGGAAGATGGAGGAGGTATGGGACATGTGACACTTCAAAAAAAATGCCTCAGACAATAATCTTGCTAATCGTGTGCCTAAAATGTTGGTAAAAACTTGCTGGCCACTTCGACAAAAAGCGACGTCTTTTCAACATTAAGTCTTGATGTAATGTTTTCTTCGCTAAACTAATTTTTCAACATCACTGTGATTTTTCTTTCATCTGCCACTAATATACACAAGTCAAAATAGCATCTTAAAATTTGTATCCAATCCCTCAAACATTATAGAGAAGCCACAAATAGAAGTACCATGTAACTGGTACCAGGAGCGTATTATTCTACTCAATGATAAAGTGGAAAAGTAAAGCAACCATTAAAGACACTAATCCAATAGAGATTTTTTCATAGTTAGACTACACTTACCAGTTGACTCTCTGATCAGTACAAACCGATATAAATTGAGAGCTGATAGAACCTGTAGATTATGGCAAGAATTACAGTAAGAACCCATAAATTTGATCAGCGTATGTAGTTAAAAAAGCAGAAAGGAGTTCGTTCATTATTCCAAATTCGGTATGTTATGAGGGTATCAGGTGAACAATATGTACTTTTTCAAGGGAAAATCATAAAGTCATAAACTAACACACACGATCAAACAAGTGTGGCATTAATATGACTCAAAGAGGCAAAGAGGCAAAGAGCCATCAATCCTCCTTATTTTTCACCAGACAAGAAACATTATAGAGACGGGAGAAAAAAGAAAAAGTACAAGAACTTCTTAAGTGAACAGCGACAATAACTTTAGAGGTGGCACCATCGGGCTTTGAAATCAACATAAATGTCAAAGACACCATAAGAAATCTATGTAGCTAAAATGTTTAACCGAGAATTTCAGGCAAAACTAAACTTTTCAATACTTGCTCTTTGTGAACAAATTAGGTAAACATTGTTAGAATCTTTAACATGTATTTTTTTTTAATAATCGAGAAATCCCCAAGGGCCTACTGGCGGCGCATGGTTCGAAACTTGGTGGATAACGGCCCCCTCCTCTACCCACTTAAATACCAAATATGCGGCAAGGTTTGAACCTGCGATGTGCATCACGCGCGGCGCTCTTACTACTAGACCAAAGCCTCAGCGGCTCAACATGTATTTTCTCAACATACTAATATCAATATGCCCCAGTTACTTCATTTCAAACAAAATTTACACCACTTTAAACTGAGAGTCGAGTCCCAGCAGCATCCTTGTCGTACTTCTAAGCAAATGCTGAGCAGACACAAGTTGACAACTGTATGTCGACTATTTTGTATTTAATGCATGTCTTGGAGTCGATAATGAAGGTGGGCAGGAGGAGTTGATTAAAACTTAATTCCTTTTCACTACTCTGAAGTTTTGATGAAGATATTAGCACAACATTACCTCAAGAAGGAGAGAGGGAGAAAGACTTGATCAAAGATGGTCCACTGTATGAGACCAAGTAACTTCAACATCAGATGCAAATCCCCAAGAATATTAAGCACAGCATCACCACATTTATCCTTTATAATGATTAAAATATAAAATTTATAAATCCTAGCCTTTTCTCATCATTATAATTTCACAGATACATCTAACTGGCAGCTCGCTATGTAAGTTCACTCATGCTGCTCAGTGCAAAGTGGAAGAGGAACGATCATACGGTTATCACCCAACACGGAGTTTATTTGTGCCCCAAATCCTATGGTCAAATAGCTTACCCATCATGTGATAGATAAATGAAGAAAAAGCAGCCAGTTCTCTTTATGGAGTCATACAATAAGCTAGCTTATAAATCAACTGCCGTTAATGCCACTGGAAGAAATAACATCTCATTCTCTCTATATCCGGAAAAAGAATCCAAATAGAACTCAACAGAAGAAGAAAACATCATGCCAGGCAAGTCTAATACAAAACTATAGATGCTAATATAAGTCACACATTGTGGAGTGGGAAAAGGAGAGTTAATTACTGCATCACTGTATTCAGGAAGGGATGGAGGGCCACCCTTTGGAGGCTTTAAAACCAGCTCCACTAGTTCGAGAGCACCAGCACTCCAAAACGAGGCACATGGAGGATCTTTCACCTCTGCCTCTGAGACTCCACTTGTTACCGAGATGCTTCTACTATGTTCCTCAAGCATTTCCCTTTTAAAACAATCTAAAAGGATTGCAATCTGTACATAAAAATATTTAGTTATGAATAAATTCAATTAAGTGTAGTCCCAGAACAATTATTGTAGCTGCGACTTCTCTAGCAACAGAAGGAGGACATACCATAGAAGAACACTCGTTATTCTGTATCAAAGCCTTTAGGATGTCAAACCTTAAAGAACTTGGAACATCTGCAAGCACCTGATAATGTAAAACCAATCATCAAATGGTCACATGCAAGTCTAACCGCAAATTCTCTATAAACAAGTAAACAAAAACAAACGATTCAATTCCCACGTATATACATTCTTTATCACAAAATATAGCCAATAATGCGCATTTAAAACAAAGAACCCCGTGAAGCGTTTAAGAACTAAACACAAAGCCAAAGTAACTTGGAAGTTCAAAGTATCCTCAAGGGTTTTATCAGCATTCACCCCTTTTTGTTAGTTTTTCTCCTTTTCACTCAAATTCTTCTACTTTTAGCACTCTTTTCTAAAGGTCTATAATAGGCCACGTTTCTCCACACACTTAATGGCATAATAAGAAGTCAAAGTCCGCACAAGGTTCAACGTCCACTCAAGCTAATATTAAGATTTCCATTCAGCTAGTCCACGGTGCCTGTATCACTAGTGGCGAATTTAGAAGGAATTGGTGTTCCTTTTTTATGCCTCTTAGACAACTGTGAAAGAATACAATCCAAGCAGTAACTTTCAGTAAAATAACGCCAACATCAATATTTTGACCTCGCAATGATTAGAATAAATTTAAGACTGAAAATGAAAAAGCTTGAACCATGTAGAAACACTTTAGAGGAAGGGTTTTAGGATTACTAGAAGTGAGACTAAGTACATACGGCAAGTTTAACCAACATAAGAAGTATCGGACGGAATGTGGGACCTAAAAGCAATGATTTAGATAACTAAGCCCGATGTTCAAGGACAGGTATTATAGATGAAGATGTCACGCATAGAATCAGAATAGGACGGTTGAAATGGAAAAGTCCCATTGGAGTGTTATGTTTGAGATGGATATGTTTCAAGGTGAGGCCAGTTCTATCGAATGGTTTAGTGTCTGAGAGTTCCAGATGTTAAGATAGATAATTTGTCAAACAAGAGTAGACAAAATTAAAAAATGATCGTTTTGGCAGAAGGTGCAAATAGCACGCATGAGGATAAAATGAGAGAAGGTCGCTTGAGATGGTTTGGTCATGCTTATGTCGACTTTAGATGCATCGTCTTTATGTGTGAAACCATGTTGATTGAAGGTGTTAAAAGACGAGGTATACCAAAATTCACATGGAAGGAATTGCCTCGAAAGATCTAAAATCTCTTGGAATCCATATGAAAGAAAAAGATCTAATAATCAGTGGGCATTAGTTTTTAGTCATATTAGTAAGTTAATTTTAGGTCCAATGTTAGCAAAAATTCTTTTAGTCTTGGTAGAGATTTATATGCCAGTAAAACATGTAGAGAACTTCTAGCGGTAGAGAAATTAAATCGTTATATATTGGACTAATACGGGCTTAAATGCAGCGACATAAGCAGTGAGGATTCATACACCGACAACTACTTGCTTGGAACTGAGGCATAGTTGTTGTTGTTGTAACAACTCGGATTAATTTCTTGACAACTAGTCATAATGTTTTTCATGTGCACTTTTAGATACTCCACTAGAGAGTAAAGTTCATAGGCATCTCTTGACAAATTGGCCATTTGCAATCTCTAGCAAGTGTACCATTAATAGGGAAATACCAGAATGAAGAGAAGAAAAGAAGAAAGGGTAAAGAAAAAAGGGGTTAAAGTGGCAGTACTCTTTTATCTCTCTACCATTTTGGGGTAAAAACCCCAAGACACTCATCTTTCTTCCTTCGACAGAGATTTAACCAGACTGAATCTAGGCCTAAGTAGTTTAAAACGCAAAACAGAGAACAAGTCATGTTTTACTCTCTAGCATTAGGGACAGAGCAACTGAACTGCTATTATGCAATATTGTCATTTTGACTGTTAGGCAAACTTTCCAAATTACTTATAATATAGGAAACATGAAGGATCCTACAACCTGTAAGAAGTACAGTCTATTTAAAGAACATCATCAATTCACTTTCATCCATACCCCTCATGTAAGAGTAAGAGATCATTGATAAATTATCAGAGGAATAAATTACAATTGCAACCTTGATCAAAAAAATTACAAATGCAACATACGCTGATACTACAATTTGCAAGAAATATCATCTTTCTGAGTATTAAAAGAAAAGCATCAGTAGACTCCTCATTTTGCTCCAGACGGGAGTCATGCAATTCTGGTATGATAATAACATTGAAAAAGAGCTTCTGCAAGCAAAAATTTCAAAGCACAGGAAAAATGCTTTACCTTCTTCAAGGCATCAAATGATTTCTTCCGCAAAACAGCATTTGGTGCATATATAATGACCATTTCAATTGCCTACACAGTGCACTTCAACTTTAGGGCACTAGGACAAAGCAGTTCAAAAGAACTGAAGATGTCGTAATAATTCACCTGCAATGCTGTATATAGAGTAGGCATATATGTGTAGTAGTCCATATTGTCATTTTGAATTTCTACGGTTGCACCTCCATCCATTATACAAAGCAGGAAATCAAGAGCATGTGTTTTCAATTCCCATGATAGGTCGATACTTGAGAAGACATGCTTTAACATGCCTATTGCCTGCCATCTTTTAGTCTGGTTCATTTGAAGTTCATTTTTCACTGCTTCAAAATCTTCATCAGCAGCCATTGATGCCTCATTGGATTTGTAACCCCAGATTACTGCACCAGGAGAAGTATAGACAGGTGAGTGGGAAGGTATCCAACATCTGGTGAGAGGAAGAATAATTAATTAAATCCACAAAATAAGTGACCTGCAAGTGATCCACCATGCTTGACATGAGAAAAGCAAGCCATGTCATCATCCCTGTCATCTGGCAATTTCACTAGGATATTAGATGACACCTATGCATGGACGATTTCTCACTTTCTAATCAAGGTACGACATTATTCTCTAATTGACATACATGGAAATTAGCAAAACATTTTGTAACTGATGATAGTGAACAATATAGGAATAAGTACCAACCTCCAAGGCCTTTAAAAAAAAGTATCTAACAAAAGGGGAGAAATCCAGTATCCACCACTAGATAAAAAAGGATTAGTACCATAAACATAAAGAAGAAAATAGGATGCGCGTATTTACCTCCACATATGGATTTGAACTTATCAATATCTGGTCCAGTAATTAATCCCTCATATGAAATACCACACAATGGAAGAAAGCGTGACAGGTATAGCACAATGGAAAGAAGGCTTGAAATGTTACGCCTCATTGCAATTGAAGCAAGAGCCTGCATGCAAGAATGGAATTTTATCGCAAAAATAATGGCCTCAAACAGGAACCAGAAGAGCTCAAGCTAGATTTTGAATTGAGTCTCAGGAACACTGACCATGAGTTGCAAGACAAACAGGCCCAGTAAAGCACAAAGTTTTTTCTTATCTTTCTGTTCCTGTGAAGTAAAGATCAATCAGAGTAATCCTAAGAAAACAAGATGGTGCATACGAGAATATCACGGACCAACTTTTTGCAAACAGCTTGTATTGATTCTGCAAGGCCAATTGCTTTGTGGAATAACTCCTCAGTGTCTTTGTCTTCAACATCTGCCTCTAAGGACACAGACTTCAAAACACCAAGAATAACAGGAATCACAGTTTTCACTTGCTCAAATTGCCGTCTTTGGATGAGTATTATAACTGAAATCAATGAATAAGGTAAAGCAATCGAATCACGTCATTGACAACAAAAGAATGCTGATAGAAGAATTAAGTTCGATTTAGAGGATTAAACCTTCACGAACTATTTTAGTACTAAATTCCCCAAAATTTGACACCAACGAATTTAACTTCAAATTTACTCATGGGGGCGACGAGAAGATAAAAGTAAATCAGGCATATCAAACTTTCATTTCTCAGTTTTGATTTGCAAACTTAAATAGTCTCACCAACTTGAGTTTGAGAGTGCGTGTTGAAAGTCAAATAATCAAATAAATTATATCCTAAAATATGTCTAGATTCATTGAACTGTGAGTAGAGAATATTATGAAGGTTATTATATAGGATGTGTAGAATATTTTGCATTTAATTGTAGTATAGTTACATAGGATATCAAGAAAACTTAATTGTTAGGTATCTCGTTAGATACAGAGAATAACCACTTGTGGAGCAGCCTATGAACCTTGTATAAGGAGCTCTTTGTGTGTATTCTTACTCACTTAATGCAAGACAAAGGAATTTCTTTTAATTTTTTCAATTTCTACATAGCCGCTAGTAGAATTGTAAGTAGCTTCTGCTGAGGAGTAGCTATAGCCGCTTGAGAGAGGACAACATCGGTTGCCAACCTGGAGGGAACATTCGGCCAACATTTTTCTTCTTTCCTTTCCTCCTTTTGGCACCATCCCTTTTCCAACGACCAGATTCACTCCTCTATACGGCATACGACACCATCCTCCATCTCAAGCGACTGGAGCTACTCCTCTTGTACATTGTTAATTAACCAAAGAAGTTTTCCATTTTTCGCAATCTAAAGATGGCCTTCTTTAACATTGTCTCTGACTCTATAAATGGATCTAGGATTTCTTTTCATGGCTTTGGCCCATATGAGATGTGTTTTAACTATTCACTTCAATTGGCATCTCTAATAAACATAATGGCACAAGAAAATCTTGTGTTTCTTAACTACTTTGCAGTCTCATATTACTCATGTAGCAACAGAAAATGCTTAGCAGTACGAAGTTAGCAATACGGTAAACTATTTCTAGTACGGTCCAGCTCACAGTTATGATCACAACATAGGCAAAAGTCATATTTAGAAGCAGCAAGAAGGCTAAAATTGATTTTAAGTGAGGAGAGTCTCTCTTGAACTTTCGGCTGGTAAAAGGAATCTCAAAAAAGATGAACAAGGAGTCAATGGAGACAAAGCTATCTCCCGTGGAAGTCAAACATTGAAGGGGGAAAAAGATCATAAGTTAGCTTTTAAAAGCCAAGTTTTCTTCGTCAGGAAAAGCAAAAAGTAAAAAGGAAAGGGGTACCTTCATAAGTCTGGATATGAGCCAAGCGAGGAGGTTTAGCATTTTGGGGGGGGGGGGGGGGGGGGTACATATCAACCATCTTAGATTTGAACATGTCCTAATGAATTGGTGGGGAGGGCGGAGGCCTAGCCATTAGGAACTCCTAAATCATTTGCGAGTTCATAAAAGGTGACACCATACACAACTTCATCCAAACATAAGTTCTAATTTCTGCCGTGAGAATAAGTTCCAATACCCCTGTGTGAACTCAGCAATAACATTATGAGATTTCAGCCTTCTACCACCTTAAGAAATATCACTACACAGTTTAAACCTATTTTCTCTAGTCTATTCATAAAATGCCAATCAATGAAAAATATCATTGGCAATTTCTGGATTACCTTCGGTAAGGCCGCCAATAAGAGGAGCAAAATAGCAAGGAATCTTGAATGTTTCACTTGGGGAACTTAACGCCTGAAAATTCCAACATAAACCATCATAAAAGACGACGAACAAAATTCTTACAAGCACAAACCTAGAGAGAGTCAGCACGGTATACTATCTTCTAAACTACAGCATGTAAGCCCGGGGAAAAAATGCACTATGTGCACCTGTCTCACTAATACAGACACTATATTAAAGTTAGAATCTACACGGCAGTTACTTGAAACTCTAATCCTTATCATTCAACTGGTATCTCGCATAAGAATTTCTCCTATCTAAGCAATAGCAATCTGATGAGGTAAAATGGAGATTGTTACACAACCAACTTGAACAGTTGGCATTCAACACTCAATAAAACGACTGCTAAGCATTTATCACCGAAGTTAGGCAGAATATTACAAGCTATAGAGTAAAATAGTCAAAGAAGCAACAGTATTCTTCCAATCAAAGCTCTTTATAAACGAAATGTTTAATACGTATAATCCCTCATTTATTTACTTAAGATGAACAAAAAGTTCAAAACCTTCATGATGAAAAGGCTGTACATGAAATCACACAGTATTCCAACTCTGAACAATCTTGTACAGAATTTTACAAAGAACTTCAACTTTGGACAATTTTCCTCGCACGTGTTACTGATGGGAAAGGAACTGGTAAAACCAGCTTCAGAGAACTAGAAATAGAACAAGTACATACCGCGCAAAGAATTGATAGCATGTCACGCGGAGAACACGTACTAACTAGATGACCAACAATGAGTTCAGCAATCTCCGAGCATCTTTTGGATGCACAAGCAAATTTACAAACAACCTTCGGCAACTCAAAGGATAGAGCATCAATAACTTCCTGCAATAAAGTACAAATATCATAATAATCCTTTTCCACACAGTAAATCACTTTTTCTTCAATTTCATTACTTCACGAAACGAGAAAAGAAAAACTAATTTTCACAAAATTACCTGGTTTCTGGATGGTGAACTTATGAAACGATCAATTTCAGTAAGAATCTCGAATGCTGTTGTCTCCAACTCCAAATTTGATGCATCTTCTACTACTGAGACTGAGAACGGATTAAGGAAATCGACGAGCTCGACGACTAATTCATTGGATTTGCTAATGTCACCGGCTTCAATCAACTAAAGGTATAAGTAAATTCAGCAATTATTCGCGCTTAAGGATATCGCCATATATGTTAATGTGGACATGGAGTGTGTGTAAGTGTTGTGGCTTACTTGACAGCATGTAGCTAGGGCCTGTTGGAGGCGAGGAATGATAGAATTGGGAGAAGATGCATCTGCGTTAAGTGAATCGGCGAGATGCGAATCCTGACGGAGTTTCTCTTCCGACATTCTGATCGTTCTCTCTCTCTCTTCACCGGTGATGCTGCTGATGTTCTGCGGCGCGATTTCGCAGTCTCCGTTTCGAGCGACTTCGCGGGAAACTTACGTGTTGTTCCAAGTGCTTAGTGCAAAACTGCAAACTTACTGCGGCTAAGTCAAACTAATGTTGTATTTGACTGTGTTTGTACATAGATAACTTAATTATTATCAATTAATGTATATTTTTACCCGTTTTAATCATGATAAATTAATATAATTTGACATAAATAATTAGCTACCTTGATGATGGTATGAAAATGTAACAAATGTGGCTACGATGGAAGACACATTTGGAGAGTAGGCAAATTAACTTTGGGACCCACCCCGGAAAGATTGCCTATATTTATTCCTATATTANTTGTATTTGCAGCCCAACACATGTAGCCCAATTTTAATAGCTATCAATTCACCGTTTGATTTATCTTGCTATATCCGACACTTTCCAAGTTTATCTGCGAAGCCCTCTTCTTCAAACGCCTCTTTGCTTCATATTTGTGCTCTCTTGCTCCTCCCCTCTGATCTATTGCTATTTTCTACTGGGTAATCTTCTTCTCAACTTGTGTTTTTTGTATTGATTTTGTTTCAATCTTTGATAATATTGTAGGTATTTGTGTTTTTCCCTGAATAGCGAATAAATTCTGTTCTCAAGGTGTTTGACAAAATTCTTCAATCAGGATTTTTACTAGATTTGTTATACATGTTCCTGCCTGTTATTTTCTTTGGTTGCATTTTGAGTTAGGGCTTTCATGTACTTCTTTAGTGCCTGAGATATACCAAGGGGCAATGGCTGAAGTTTATGCTAAATTGATCAAGAAAAGGGTTATTTCTTGGTTTTGGTTCAGAGAAGAACAAATTTATTTTCGTATCTTTGTGTTTCCAAAACCCAAAAATTGATTTTGAAACCAAATAACTTCGTTTGGTTTTGATTTCTGAAAATGTCTTGTACTGCATAGAGCAAATGGGTCCCATTCAACTGCTTTGTACTTTCATTTTCTTGAGTAGGAGAACTTCTTAAAAGAAAGTGAACGCTGTTTGGGATAACTAAGAGTGCAGAGTAGTAATTTGAGATGGGGCGTATTAAAAGGTTTGTAATATTTATTTTCTTCAGTTTATGTGCTCTGCTAAGTTATGTTGCAAAAGTAGGACAGAAAATTGACTTGGAAGTTCTTGATTCAGCTTCTCTTGACAAGTATATTTCCAAGATATCAGGAATAAGTCAAAAATAATTTAGGCAGAGTTATNTCAAAAATAATTTTGGCAGAGTTAATATTTTAAATATTGTATAGTTGGTGACAACAATCTTATTACCAGTAAAATTGACATTGAAGATTCACTTTGTAGATGAATTGATTAACATCATTTCCCTCTTAAAGAAACATAGTGAATACTTTGTACAAGAATTGATTAATATCATTTTCCTTTTAAAGAAACATAGTGAATATACTCTTGCAGTTGAGTTGTATAAGTTGCTCCATTTATAGCTATTGTAGTTCTCGTGATTGAGGAGCATCTACATGTTCAATTAAACAACCATTAGATGTTGTTACAATTTTTCTTGTATGTAGTGGTCAGAAAATAAAAGTCACATATATTTGAGTCTCAGTAGTACTTTTTATTAATCTGATGCTATTCGCTTCAGATGTTACCTCTGCCAGCAAACTATTTCTATTTACTTCGTGTGTTTTAATTTCTATAATTGCAGTTTTGTAGGAATAATGGGTTCTAAACAAAAAAACAAACATGTTTGCTTCGCAAAATCAGAAGCTGAGATGAAACTTAGGCGACATGAAACGTACAAAATAATATCTGCGGGAAAAAAAAGAAGCATTGTTACTACAACGACGAACAAAAAGACAAGAGTTAAAAAGAAGTAGTCTTTCTGAGAATGTTGCTTTTCCTGTCGCTACTCCAGCTGCAATTGAGTTTCAGTAACAAAATATTCCTCTTAGGAGCTCTTCTTCTGTTTTAAAAACAGGTTAGAATACATCCTTTGTTATTTTATTTTTTTAGAAATGTCCCTTCACGCTTTTTGCATGTGAGTATAATTGAATGACGGTAAATGTGTGTTGTGTTT